TTTGAAAGAAGAACTTTGGATGGAAATGGTTTACATGTACAACAGGATATTTGTCGAAATTGTTTTTTGGAAAAGAGAAGAATATTGAGAAAACATCCAGCAATACCAAAAGTGACATAAAACCAGGAGATCACAAAAAGGACGTTGTATTGAATAGGTAACAACACACTACTTAACGATGTTTGATTCGTTGAAGACATTTTATTATTGTGAAATCTAAAATATATACTGACAAGCTGTCTTAGGCTTTCTCTGAATTAATCTTCGGGAAATGGTCATGGTCTTGGAAGTGCTAATCTCCTGAATACTCTCGATGATGGTATCGATCAGATCGTAGGAAAACTCAACATTTTTTTTGCTGTTGATATGATGTACTTGGTTGGCCAATGCCCTGTTTTCAATTGTCAAAAAAGCAGTTGCTATCTGAAATTAATCGATAGCGTCGGGTGGATATAAAGAAAGTGGATCTCAGGTGCATTATTAGCATCTGAATCTTGGAGAACAAAATCTCGGAAATGTGCTGCACAAGTACTTGAAAATCAGATATAAAAAACATCAATGAGATTTTACCTGATTAAAAACGTTGCTTATCTGAACAAGGAGAGCCAAGAACATTCAATTTCGAGTATCTTTGCTAATGACAAAAATAGAAAAAAAACTCTTTTAACTAACTCACTCAGAATGTGGAATCTACTTGATGCAATATCTGTGTAGATGAAGTATTTTTGATCTTGAGAAAAAAGTCAAAATCAACTTACTTTTGTGCGTCAAGTTGAAAGATTAATTTAGAACAAGGATTTGAGTATCTTCTCTTTTATGTTAATTTCCTTCAAGATTGCTCTTGATGAAAAGATTAGTTAATGGATTTCGAAAAACAATTGTGTGATGAAACAGTAATTAGTACTGATGGGATGCTACGCTCCCATTTGTTTCTTTCTTTCAAAAAACTGCCTTATTCTAAGAGAAAATATATACTTATATACACGCTCTGTGAAGAGATAAACCTTGAGCACAATTCGTTAATGAAAAAGTGCATTGCACTATCCATCAAGTTAAGATAAAAAGATGCAAGTAAGCCTAATTAGTTCTCATCATGGGACTTATATATTAATAGTTATTTGCGAAGAATCGAAGTGCGAAAAACTGCTGCACAATTATATAATTCTTTCCTATGATTGTTACACTTTTCGTCTTCCTATCAGTGTATTTGTACAATGATTTAATTGATCCAATGAATGAAATGGCTGACGTAACATTTTTATTAGTCATGATTTGTACTCTACTATACATGTGATAGTAATTTGTACGATACGCATTTTTGTTTCGCGAAAGCAAACGTTTCATTTCGAATAATTAATATAGAGAATTACGAAGGATGATAACAGTCGTCAAGTATGAGTCTTTCCTTTTATTCGACAAAATTTAGAGTATTGCTCGACTGATCAGGAAGCGTAAGCGATAACAAACAGGTTAGGACAAAGAAAAATCAACAGTGCTTATTTTGCTTTATGATCGGCATCTCGTACAAAAGCGAAAAAGCGATACATTGAAAGTCTTCTGATAAGAAGCTGAAGGGAGGACAAAGATGAGTATCGATGTTGTAGATGAAATAAAGTAACCAGAAACATACAACCACGCATAACGAGAAACATCTGTACATCCAGATAATAAAGAAATGACATGGCAGCGACAAACATAATCACTGTGAAAGCACCATCGATCTTGTGATTAGTAGTGGTTGATTTCCAAACGTAAAATATGATCGAGAGTGAGACCAATATTTTTTACTTGAGTATTGAATCAGCCACTAACATAACAATACGGGAAATTGTCAACTAATTAAATTGTTGGCAAAGAAATAGTTAATATAATCATTATACTACACTATATTTTGAGCAAAACAGATATGAATCGGTATGTGCTAAGTATCAATCACTTGGAAAACAATGTTGACACATACCAGTGTGTTGGAAAATAACAGCAGTTGGGCCGTATACGTCGATTGAAAAGGACTTTGGTTCCAGCGAATATGAAGTTGCTACAAGTCATATACATTTGACATTAGATCGAAGATGAACTATGTATTTTACCTCATGCTGAACATTTACACATTCCTGCGTTCAAGATGAACTGGCTTTGAACCGACTATGCTGATCGAAAATGAACCTGTAGCATATGGGTCGTATGTCGTCGCAGCCAGAACGTATTTCATACTGGCAAGAAGTTCAAGAGTGAATTTGAACTGATCTCTGTTGCAACATTTGCCGTACTATGCCATCAAGTTAATAGTACGTGAGAACGTGGTACGATTCTGTGTTAAGATCAATGAATATGTCGCTTGGCTCGTGGACAAAACATTTTCTAAATGATAAAGTAAAATTATTAGAACATGAGCACAAACTATCGTCTATTTCAAGAAGCAATTCAAAGTCTTCACGCTTTTATTTTTTATCCGAAAGATAATGTCACCTCTCACTTAATGATCAAACTAAAAGACATATGTGTTGGAAACTGTTTGTGATGAAAATACTTGGAGGTTACGTCAAGGATCGATCTGAAAATCAAATTTTTGAACTTGATCATTCTCATTATCATAAGTAATTATGTTTTTATAAACGTCAAAGCTAGATATCCTTGGAATATCTAATTGATGAGATTGTTTGCCATGTCTATCATATCCAGACAAACAAACATCGAAAGTCGTTTGGTTCCGATGCAATTATTCGGTTATCCGCAGTGTCCGAAATGAAAAGATACTTGTCAGCATATACGACAATTGAGGAAGGATGACTGAGCGCAATTGCAATACCCAATGAAGTTTGTCCTGTGACTGATTTTCCATTTCTCTCATCAAATGCAAAAAGTTGCACTCGACCATTGCAAGAATCCACCACATATGAATGCTTTCTTAACTATATGATTATTCTCCTCCGAACAATCTAAATAATTATTAATATCGATAAAAACACTCGAACATTCTGTCGTTCTTTTATTAGATAAACTGACATAAATTTTACCAACGTTGGAAACGAACGACCCATTCACTGTCTCAATTATCATCGGGCGAACGTCATTCTTATACCAAACTAGAATTTGCTTCTCTCGAGAAATAGCAATATAAATGGCCTTGTTTGTATCAATAAATATAGCAGTGGAGCTCTTAGTCAGCATATTTGCACCAATGAAAATGGTAGCATCTCGATTCCACCCGGCTGTTGGACAGGATCTTAGTTGATTGAACGAAGATACTGTATAATGAAAACGAGATATACAGTCAGAAAAACAACTGCCATGTTAGATCGACGATTTCTCAAAATATTCAATCAAATGTCCAACGTAGAAAAGATTTTGTTCATGCTCTATTCACTATTCATAATGCATATAGATTCATATGAAATGGAAACGGTTGATATGAGTCAACATTCTCTTTTTATCCCGACTGTCTTCACAAGGGTGTGTGGGTGAGAATACTTTTGAAAAAAGATGCTTATGAATGCGAATATTTCCTATGAGTAAGGAGAGTCATGAAAATTTTTGATGAAGAAACAAACCAGCTAGAGAAAAGTTGTGTCATGATGTCAACAGTTGTTCGGAATTAATTAGCGAGCAGTGCTTCTCGAGAAATCGACCGTTCCTATATCTGTTCCTCTGAGATTGTTATGGTTTCAATTCAATTTCATCGAATTCATTAATTCCGAGTAATCTGCTAAATAAACGTTAATAATGGTCAATAAAAACCCTTGAATAAAAAGTTGTGCTTTTTGTTTCGGTCTGAAATATGGGTTACTCCTATGTTGCAAATGAATACGTGCTACGAATCGCTATTTTTGTTACTATGTGAGCAATTATGATCCTTTTTAACCTTGATCAATGTATTGTGGTACAAAACGCATAAATATTGTCGGTCTTCTCATCCATGTGCTATCTTATAGCGCGAGTTCTACTAGAAATCAAGATCCAGTTGTTGGTCGCGATTTCGAAGATGGATTAGGAAATCTAAAAGTAGTTTTAATTTGAATCATCTACAGCGCATTTCAATGTTCTCTCCTGAGAATAGGAATTGTTAGTAATAGAAAATAAAAGATTTATTTTATTCGTGATTAATTCGAACCCACATATACATCGATCTCACGTAAGGAAAGTTGGCACGATATTCGAGTTATTTTGCCAATATTCATTTCAGTATCTGTGCTGGTGTTTTAAATGGTTGTGTTGAACTCAGAATTTGATTCTCTATCGAATGATGTAAGTGTCGAAGGGTTTCATCGCAGGTGAGAATCTGAGTGTGGGTGTGGATGTGTGGGTGTGATAATTTTTTTGTCTCGATAACCCATGTCGAAAAATACATCATTCGATAGAGAATCAAATTCTGAGTTCAACACAACCATTTTTAGACTCAGCACAAGTTCTCAGACGAATATTAGCAAGAATTACAAATTTCTGAAAGACCAGAAAACCCATTGTTTCGTCAAAAACTTGGGTTTTTGGTCGGTGATCCATACCGAAAACCACACCATTCGATAGAGAATTTAATTCTGTATCCAACACAACCATTTAAAACGCCAGCACAGATACTGAAATGAATATTGGCAAAATAACTCGAATATCGTGCCAACTTTCCTTACGTGCATTTGTGTGCGGATAACAACGGCGATTACTTCGAACATTTAATGAAATGAAAAATTCGTAGACCATACATTTCTTGCGTGGTCTAAGGCTGTTAAAATTTGCATATGCTGATATGTAAAGACGTCTAAGTATTGAGGAAGATGAAAATAAATACATAAATAAAAAAAACGAGATAATATCTCATAACAAGCAGGCGACATGCAACAAAACTGAGTTTTCTTGAAAGTTTATTATTATGATCTAAGTTTAAGTGTTATAAAATAATACAGAAAAATAGAGTTTCATTTTCTCTATCACGCTGTACAGAAGAAAAGTTTCTCGAAGTCTTTTGTAATAGATTAGGAAATCTCTGCCACTACTTTTGGACTGATCTAAGCATGTGTAAGAATATATTTTCCTTTTTGACGATGTGACCCTTCTTTTAAATAATATTTCCCTTCGAAAGCTTGGCTTTTTTCATTCCATTGTGCTTGAACTCTCATTGTTTTAGCACCATTTTGTCCTTTATGATAGAGCGTAGGTTGATAAACTTTGTCAAATGCAATTTTTTGTGTTCGTGGTGAAAAGACTCCTCGAGCTGAGAAATTACCAAGACTGTCTGCTCCTTTGCCAAAGACAGTATTACCAGCTGTTGGATAAAATCCTAACATCGTATTTCGCGTGCTATACCATAACACCATCTTTTAAAAATGAACTCGCGACTGGTCCAGATCGAAATGTACCAACTCCAGTGAGTTTTGAAACGCCAAAACGAACATAATTGGCATTCGAAAGTAGAGATGTATTCATACCAAAAGCGAGAAATAAACCACCAATTATAATACTACCTACAATAAGAAGTCCAACTACACCTCCAACAACGCTACCAACAATAATTCCAGTATTACCACTATTACCATCTAAATAAATAATATTAACAAAAAAACTGATCTATAACGATATATTATCTTAACATACGAGTATTTGTCGTGGTTGACGAAGGGCTGACAGTCGCAGTTGGCGAAGGACTGACAGTCGTAGTCATGGGAAACAGGCCCTTGGGTACTGCTTGTACAATTGAATAAGAAGTTGACAAAGCTAATCCAACACGATTCTGTTGCATATCATATACGCTGTAAAAACGTCTCAGAAAATAATCTCCAAGTATCCATATGGGATTTGAATGTCGATCATTTACATCGAGTGGACTGATCATACTATAGCATTTGTATGTATAAGGACCACCAGTGATATCAATATACATCAATGGTGTCAATGTGAAAGGAGTTCCGCTAATTGTTACTGTTATATTTGGGAAATCGGATAGGCTCTTGTTCTGACAATCGACAATAGACTAAAACAAAACAGACTTATTTTGCACGATTCTTATTGAAATTTTATTTTTTCTCACCCATTTCGTTTTTGAATCGTATGTAGCTCCTATCAACGCATTTATTGTATTCAGATAAGCTGATGGAATCGCCATGGCCGATGTTGTTCCTGTATCTAAAATGGCACGAATTGAAGTAGCGATTGTATTTGTTGTTGATCCAATTGATAATTTAATATTATCAGCAATAAATTCCCAATAGCCCTGAACGCTAACTGGTGCATATGTAAAAGAACCTGTATATTTTGTAGTATCATAACCACCTAAGATTAATTCACCTGTGTCAGAACCCGTTGATATTCTAAAAAAACATCATTATAATTTAAGAATATAAATGATAAGAAAAAAACTTACGGTCCAAACCAAAAACCAAATAATGGAAGAGTTAATTGACCAAGTCGATACATCGCCCAAATAGGTGGTTCTTCACCACCTGTTGCAATATTTTGATAACCCATACCTAATAATCCATCTCTCGCACCTCCACTCATTCCATTAGCTGATGTAGCAATAGCAAATCTTTGATTAGGAATCGATATACCAGCAATCTTACAAGAAAGAAACACAAATCAAATATTTTATTAATAAAGTATTTTTCTTTTTATCTTACATTAACTGTATCAGCAGCCCACGTCCCATTTACATTGCTTCCATCACCATATAGGATATAGAACGAGTTTTTTGTAACATTACATGTATTTGATAAATTTGAATTGAAAGTAAGATTACCACCTATGTCATTGAAATTTATAAATCAATGGTTTTGCTTCAAAAGAAACTATTCATTATTTTACCACAAGAACTTCCACATTGTACACCTGGTACCCATAAATCACTTGAACCAGTATCAAAATCAACATAGAATGGTTGACCTGGCGTACCAATTGTTATTAAACCGATCCAATATGTCTTTAAATATAGAATTTTTTCAAAAAATTTAAAGAAATTCCAAACACTTACTCCCCAATCTTCATCGAATAATGTATCATTTGCTGTTGTTGGTAACGAGCGCTGTCTTCTTCTTGACGTTGTTGATATATTGTTATGTTTACCATGACACTTATATCTGCTTCTACTATTATTATTACATCGATATTTAACTTTTTGCATAGATATACTAAGAGAAAAAAACATTATAAATAAATATTATTCATTTAATAATCGAAACCTACTGTTTTATTCCATTATTTGAAGTAGTAGAAGAGCTTCCAACATTTTTGGCTACAGAAACATTAGTTGAACTAATTGTTGCTACTATAACTAATGTTAGTAGTGTTACGACAAACAGAATTTTTATCATTATATTCGTATTATACAATATCAATAAGAGCAATTAATAAATACTAAGTCAGTATATATATACAATTATGGAATCGTAATATTTTCCCCTTTTCATTTGTTTTTTAATTCATCATAATATTTTTGTTTCACGACACACGCCCTTTTTTCTTTTCATTAACCAGCTACGTCCTTGAAGCACCTATAGGAAGGAGAAAAGGAAGTGGACAGTGTGTCATCGGTAATTCCCGTGAGAAGCGTCAGATTGATTAATGATATAGATAAAGAATAAAAATAAAATTACGACGCATATAATAAAGGTAAGAAAACATCGTTAAATATACGCCCTTGAAGTATCATTACTTCTGATATATTACTCACGAGGGCGAGGATGTGTGTGATGTGATATAGATAGAGAATGCTACGATTATAGTTTCGTCCTTTTTCAAGGGACGTTCATCAGGTAGCTTATGATAGGACTCATGATCTGAATGGAGTTCTACAGGAGGCAGTATTCTGAGTCGCTTTTATCGTGACAAAAGGGAACTACCCAAGTTATTATGGCACGGTCGGTTCCGGTCGGAATCTGGCGGCACCCAAGCAGACAAAGTTTGCCTGAAACGCGTTTTCACGTTGGAAAAAGACCACTTTTCAATGTAGGCACGTGTGAGAATAGGAATGCTCGTTTAAACGCAAAAGAACGAACTTTTGTCAGCATTAAAACGAACAAACCTTCCCTGATAACTATTTCTAAATATATGAACGCTTCGAATACTTCTTTTCATACCGTTTCAACACTCATATGAGTAGACTCGCGTGTTCTTTGCTAGAAATCGCATATACAGCATGTTTTGGCACCGTACTTTAATCAACGTCCTTAGAGTGCAAAGTACATGTCGTGTAAACACAGGTAATTCGAATGTTTTTATCGTTTTTTTTGGAAATTTTTCTTTTATGAGTAAATTCAGCAAAACTCAAATTGAAAACACCATAGACCGAGATAAAGTATATGTATGTATACCACTAAACAGCTTATTCGCCTAAACGTATAAAGTTTCAAAACGTATGCTCCGTTTGAACGCCACTTCAACTATTATTTCGTACAGAAAGATGTAATATTCTTCTATTACAGCAGTATTCAAACGCGCGGCAAAAACTGATGGTGTGAACATGTGGAGAAGCCAGTTTCAAGCTCGAATTCACACAAAGTTTTTCCTTGAGGGTGCATTCCGACAATGCATAGATAGAGAAGCCCTTAAACAGCGTGTTTCTCGGACGAAGTCCTCGTCCATGTATGCAAGGTGTTACAAAAATGCGTGAACACGCGCGACAATATATATTTCTTACTGGTTTAGCACGTGGGGCAAAGCTACTCAAGTGAATACATATTTTCGAACACAGTGGATCTATGTGATAATAAAAAATTACAGAACTACTATTTCTCACCGTGAACATATGTTGAGATCTACATCGCTGACGAATGTTCCTGCTCCGAAAAACTCACAGTTGTGTTCGCTATATTCAAATCAGAACATGAAGTGTTTTTTCTCGCAATGCATTTTTTGACAGTTTCAAAGATAAGATCTTGCTTGCGTTTATCGAAAGCTTCTCCTCAAGTTTCGTCTCTCCTCGAAAGGAATCACTCCGATCACTCAGCATCAAGAACTTGTCGAAAATACGATGAAATCGCAAACACTGATAACATTTCTGATAACGTTTACACACGACATCTTCTTATGATTTCATGCTTTTTCCGATGGAAGAAATGAGTATGCGATTGGCATTGTTTTCTATTTTTAAAAGGCTCTACATGCTTTAACGTATGCTAAATACACGACGTTCGCTTAATCAAAAGTTTAGAACTTTCAATATTATAGCACTTAGTTTTATTGTGAGGTATCTATTCGTCTGCATAGATTTATACAATGTTCTCAAGTTTGGGCTCAAGTAATGGGGAACGAACATGTTGTAAATGTCTACTAACAAACTTTTTATCAATGAAGTGTAAATCTATACATTGACGTGAACGCCTACCCTTGTCGTTCAATGGCACCTCATTGATAAGTTTTGGTTTTATGCCCATCACTGTGCTGGGATTCGAAATTGCATAAGAATCATCAGCATGGGCAATATTCTCTTCTTCATTCCCTGCAAACGTTGTTCGAGTTCGCTTTGCTCGAGATGAACCAATATGTCGGTTATAATTAAGAGAAGAAATTTTAGAAAAACAGCTGCGTAGAAAGTTTGCTTCAAAGAAACGAAGAGGATAATCTAAAAAAGAGATCGATATACCACTGAAGGAGGGAAAATGAAAGACATAATGGCATGCTATTGTGAACGGACAATGAACCGATGTGACCATAATCGAATCGACTGACGACTGACCGTATGAAATCACGTTATAAGAGCCTGATGATATCATGCTATTTGTTCTAAAAGAAATTCTGGCGTATCATTATAAAAGAAAAGCACTGAGTATGCTTTTCGTCCTCTTTCATTTGATGTTGTCATCATAGGTTCTTATTATAGTCCAATGAAAAGGTGGACATCATATCGTGTCTAAAAAAATCATTATTAGAATCTATTTAACAATTGGCTTAGTATACATTAGAATAGCTTGAAAATGACTAGTTCCCATTACAAAATCAATCTAGAGAATTTACGTGGATGAAACAGTGCATACGAATGTTTGACATGTTGGCAACACCACACATTTAATACAAACATTAAGCATTTCTGTACAAACCTACTTATTAAACTGAGATATCTACCATCAACGTATCCCTGGTACAGGAATTCGATCGTCGGATCGCTCCTCTTGAGTCGCCAGCATTTTATTCGACCTAGCCACTTGCTATTTCACATCAAAGTTCTCAAAATTATTCAGCGTTAAATACAGCTCCCACAGGCTTTGTGTGTTTGACTCCTCACGGAACATAGATCCATGTGTAAAGTCTCACTGAAGTACTCTATAGTCCTATTCGACAACATCTAAAGATGACATTTGTTTCCTATAGACTTATCTTAAGTGCAACTTCAGCCCGCTTTGTTCTTATGCCTTTATTTTGCTTTTATTACCATATCAATATATGTTATAACTACTAACAGCTTTGTTTCCATTAACACCAACATTCTGTTTTGAAAATATCCGACTACTGTCTATATGTTCAATGTAAACATAGCTTATAATTACTTCTCAACCGCTGCTAATCTTCTACTACTCCACCCAGTGTTGGTGACGTTCTCTTCATCAAGATACTTTTGTATAAATATACACGTGCTGTGATTAACTCGCCACTGCATCCAGACTACACATCGCTTTCCTTACATGTAGAAGTGCGTTTGTTCAACGAAATCAAGCATTAGAATTGTCTTTACATTTAATTTAATCTTCGCTACTCTTCTCTCTTACTCCTGATTAATTAGATAACACTTGTCGCGGGCTGCAATCTATAGGCATTTTTCACAAGCTTCCTCAGTTTCCAGTCGGCTCTATCATACCCGACACCGTTTGCTTTGCTTAGGAGGGAACTGTACACTGATCCCACACTCCTCAGCACAGTCAATTTCATTTCTAAACAACATAAAGCCTAAAGAACCTTTCGAAGGTTAGCCTAACATTTTCTAGTTGAATCATCCGTGACCCCTACACACTCCGAATGATGACCGATAGATAAACACTCTCCTACTCCCTACCAACTCAAGCATAACGATTCACTGCGGCCCAAGTATCTCCACGATAAGGAATGAGTAAATCGATACAGATGATACGAATCGATACTCTTCGTTCGGCTTTTACATGTTCACTGAGATCTTTTGGCCTTAACAATGTGAAGTAAGTGAACCTTTCGGAACAGAATCAATAAGTGCTTTTCGGCCTCATTTTTTGATTGGCAAAAGTAGAAGGGTTGTAAATGGATATGTGGAATAATGGAGTTGGACGCACATAACAGTTGATGATAAAATAGTGGTTCGGATCACAGCAAGATTTTGTTTGTGTGCTAGAAGATGTTCATTTTGTTCAGGGTATTCCACGAAGTTTTCCAATTTCGCGTGATCAGTGTGACTATTTTTGAATTGTTGCGCATGGGCAAAGTGCACGAGGAAAATTGATCAGACGGAAACGGTTGGCTCTTTAGACCTTTGAAATGCTGGTTTTTGTATAGTTTGAGGTGAATACGTAGTGGTGATAAAATATCATAGTATCAGAAATAATTTGAGCATGATGGAATAGCAGGTAAAAATGCGTTCCAGTGTTTTTGAATGTTTGCACTCGGAGGAAGAACATATAATGTTTAATTGAACTTATTTACATTTTGTTTTCTTTTTTGTGGGTTGGTTGTATTCTAGGTTCCCGACTGCTGAATAAAGACGCTCATTATTAGTATTGAGATGCACGTTCTTGTTTTTTCTCCGGGTGCGCATAAAAAGATGCAAGCTATTTTAAAATGGTCGTGTTAATGATGGAATATATATGACGTGTTCCTGTAGTAGTTGGGGTTCCGACTATATGGAAGACATGATGGGACAAACTAGACGATCAAGCATTTTCTTTTTTAACACGTAACTATATGCGAAAATTTATTTCGCGTGCTGATAGGAAAGATCAGCTGCTAAGAAATTCGGTTTCCTTTAACGCTTTTGGTTTTCAACCGTTGTTCAGTAGCAGTCGAGAACCGCGACTGATACCGTAAAACAGTATAAAGTTCTATAGGGTCTACACGCGTTTTTCGAGGGGTCTCATTTGCTTGGGTTTCATGCATCATTATTGTCCTATTTCGTGACATAGTGGTAGGAGAAAAATATCATTATTCAACACTTCCAATCTTTGTTTTTTGCATTTGATAATTACAGGTAAGAAGCAACAAATTTCCAAGGGGAAATTAGTAATTATACAAACAATGTAATACAGTAATTTTGATTTGAATTTTAGTTGAATTTATTTATTAAAAATATAAAATATGTATGTTGTTAGACGAGATTATAGATATCAACATTTTAGTTCCATTGAAGAATGCATAAGTTATATTTTTACATATGAAAGAATACATCAAAATCATTCAGGTATAACACAACGAAAGAGAAAAGTGAAACGTACTCAATAATTGCAGGTATTCAGATTTCATCGATGAAATGAACTTACAGAATATTTTTCTTACCATCTTGAGGATGAAGATGATGATAAGTTATAGATTTCATTATGATTACACAGATCAACAGCAATATAGTTAATATGGTTCTTTAATAAGAAAGATGTCTTTATTTATACATGTACTTCTTCTAATTTGATTTCAATTCAGTTTTCCTGTCTAAATTCTCTTTGCTAATTCATTTATATTTCATGTAATAAAATAGAATTAAAAAGATTGAATGATCATTTATTTAATACATTGAAAAGATTCTTTTGTGATATTTTTTTTCTGAATTTAACAACCATAACGTTTCTTTAATTTTTCTATATCCCAACCAGCTAGACGTCCAGATCTACCAATAGAATTGACATAATTCTCAAATCCAGGTCGAATTGTCTCAATCGTACGATGACCATTCTTACTGAAAGCTGTAGAGTGATAATGCATAATAGAGCCTAAATACGTTTTTTTAAGTATTAAAGAAAAACATCAGAAAATTGAGATAGATTTACCATAGTCATATGGATAATTAAACGTATCTACTTCACCAGCTGAATATTTATTAAAATTTGATTGTGTTCCTGAAATAAAACAAACCTTTAGATTATCTCTAAATATAGTTTTCATATATCGTAACATACCAGGTGAAATATTTCCCCAATTAATTCTCACCCATGCATCTCGGTCTGGTCGATTATGTTCATGAACATGTCCAAGTGCATGTAACAACTCATGTATTACTGTTCCTTCATGAACACAAGCTGGATTTTGTAAACTAAGATCTTGACGACCATTATTTACTATTTTACCCAGATACGACCAACAACTAATGAAATAAATAATACAAGGAAAACTAATAATATTATATTCTAAACTTACCCATTTCCTGGATGAATACGAAGCCAGTATGGATTATTTCCTCTCCAAACAAATCGAATACAATTATTTGTTGCTTGACTTATTTTTGACATGGCTGTTAGAATAATATTCTTCTGATTATTAGAATAAGCGTTATCCAATTCAACTGGAACAATACCCCGAGGCCATCGTTGAGTTGATTTGAAAAGGGTTCTTGCTTGTCCAACTGGTGAAGCAACATCACCATCAACAATTATAATATCTTTACGAGTATTTTCTGAAATACCTGGTAGACCAAATGGATTTGCTGCAGTTATAATAGGTGCTGTCTGTAATTCTGTAATATTATTTGAAGTTGATTTTGAAAGAGTAACATCAACTACATCCGAAAGATGATAATCATGAACATAACCAAAAGTTGAACCGAAAAGATGGACAACTGCTAAAAGAATGACGATTTTATGTTCCATTGTTTTGTTTAACACAAAATGTTTTACGATACACTCTCATTGTCATTCTATCAGTATTTATAGTTGGTATCGAGTATAAGTCAATCTCGGTATTAAAATATCAGATCGAATTACAAATGACAATAAAAAAAAGGAAGTTTTATCAAATATAGTAGGCGTTTTGTCAGAAAGTCAGGATTACATTTGTCGAATAATAACTACTCATGACGTTCTATCGTAAAGTTAATTACCTAAGAATTTCGTAGACGGATGAATTACGTTTCGTACCACCCTCAAGATGGATCCGATGAAATCCTGGTGACGGAATCGCATTGGATTCCGACGGTCTCGGATCCGAAACATGGATTTCCTGGATTTTCTAAGGGTCATCATAGAATATAGCTAGAAAGATCGCTCATAA